AATATAATATAAAGTAATAACATATTTACTTACTCCAGTTGAAGTACCCAAACGCATAGCACTTCCTGGTACTTTTGGTGTAAACTACGCAATTAAAAAATTTCATTATTTGGAACAATTACTCTATATTATTATATACATATCATTACTTACAATTAATCTTTTTGCATAGCTTGTGTGCAGTGTTTCTTGAAATAATTCATCTTGTTCAAAATCTTTAATACTATATATTGATGGATAATCATTATACCCATCATAAATATCATCATCAATTCGTACATTATTCATTATGAATGTTTCCATAAATTATTATTTTTTTTATTTGTATTTACTCTTCTATAAAACAAATCTATAAATGCAATTTTAAACAAAAATCGTTGAATAGATTTATTAATTCTTAATTGATATTTGATTATACTTTCTTTTTCATTATTATTATTTAAAAATTATTTCATGAAATGAACAGTAAGTGTCACAAGAGACACTACTGTTGATTCATGCGCTAAAGTACAAACAAACCTTATCTAGTTACATCTATGTTCAGAACATCGATGGATTTAAGTTGGTCTTACATCATTATAAGTTTTATTACAATTAATTATAACTTCTTTATAATAACAATCATCGACAGACATCAGATCGTACAATTTTTTCGAAAATAAAAATACACTGCACTGCAATTACATTCAATTACATTTTGCAACGGTACCTAACATTTATTGGTTGGCAATGTAGGCCTTCGTACACTTTTTGGACGACAGATCTATAAAACCATGAACATAATGAAGTCTCGTATAAACTTTACGTAAAAGCAGTAATTCAACGACGTATAACATTTTTTATTCAAAGGGCCAAGTCTTGTAATATAGTTGATTTGCAGAAATATTGAATCTAATAATTTTTTGCTAGCAATTTGACAGTACAATCTGCGTTTCTCACCCAAAAAAGGCGGGGTTGCGCTTTATGCAATAGTGCCAAATAACCTGTTTCATTCGTCCAATAATGTTGATAAATAATCGAATTTGACATGTGTTACGTGATAACAGATAAGTTTCGATACTTCAAATTATGTGAAAACATTTTAATCTTTGACTCGTGTATAATACAGTTCGAGGCTGTATCTGTAATGTGATTTTGAAAACTAATCTTTAAGCAATTTTAAGAAAATGACAACTGAGCAAAGTGGGCACGATCATTCCCTTGCAATTAGACAAGAAATACAACGTTTCGAAAGTGTTCATCCATCAATTTATGCTATTTATGACTTAATAGATCTGGTATCTGATACACACATTGCTAAACAAATCCGTGAACATGTTGTTGCTATTGAAGGTATAATACATATTTCCAAAGAAAGTAATGTATATATGTATTTTTTTTAACATTTCTAAATATGTTTCTCTCACATTACAATAAGTAAGACATTAGTTTTTTGAATTTTTATGAATGAAAATCTTTTGTTAATAGATTCGTTTGTTAATAGTCATGAGTGGACATTAGCTAGAGATGTCCCAGAATTACATTTGGGAATCATTGGTTCATCTGACTCGGGGAAATCTGCTTTAGTTCATAGATATTTAACTGGTTCATTTATGCATGAGGAATCTCCAGAAGGTGGTCGTTTTAAAAAGGAAGTCTTTATCAATGATCAGAGTTATCTCTTGCTAATCAGAGATGAGGGTGGAGTTCCAGAATCACAAGTATATAGAATAAAATATTATATATGCATATATGTATAATTATTTTATAAATATATGTATATTCACAAAAATATATAGTCAGCAAACATATTGTGGATTCATAATAAACATCACTTATTCCAGTTTTCTGCTTGGATAGATGCTTTATTACTTGTATTTAGTTTAGAGAGTGAGGAAAGCTTCTCTATAGTTTGCAGTTTTTATAACAGAATGTGTTCATTTCGAAATATGTCAGAAGTACCAAAAATACTTGTGGGAGTTCAAGGTAATACCTATATTTTTTTCATATTTATGAAAATATTTCTTACTACATTATTTTTTTATCTCTGCGATATACATTAATGTCATTAATATTAAATGATATTTATTAAATTATTTAGATTCAATTAATGATTCTAATCCCCGGGTTATAAAGGATATTAGACCAAGAAAATTGGCATGTGACTTGAGATGTCCTTATTATGAAACATGTGCTGTCTATGGTTTGAATGTTGAAAGAGTATTTCAAGATGGTAAATAGTTCAAAACAATTACCAATATTACACACATGTTTAATTTTATCGTGAAATAATTAATAATGCAGTAGTTTGTGTTAAGTTTGCAGTATATCAACATCGTTCATTTTTGTTGAATTATTTCTTATGTCATTACTATCATGCTGCAGTGACTTTGATGATTATTCTGAGAGTATTCTGAATATTACAGTGTGTCAAAAAATTATACAACATATATCTGCAAAACATTATCGATGTAATGGACAACAAGCAATAGAGAATGAAATAAAGTATCCAGTTCCAATGATTACCAAAAATACACAGTTTCTCACCAAAGAAATGGAAGCAACAAATTCATCAAAATTAAATGTGAGTTGTTATCTTCTCATAATATGTTGCATTGAAAGATTTGTATAACAATTTGTATTTGCCCAGGTATCTGATAAAGATGAAGACACTAGATCATTTCATCATAGTTCTACCCAAAATGATTCTGCAATAATAGGTGATAATTTTCATAATACACAGAATCAACATGGAGATTTTAGATCCTCAATATTAACACCAACCACTATCAGGTTTAGTTTCTATAAGCATATATCTTTTTTTTTAATTACAAAAAATTAAACTTATCTTATTTTTGTAGGAAATTTAGAAGAAAGTCTAATATATTCACCCCATCGAAGAAAGAAAAATATAACATGGGTGAAATGGGTGTTGGTAGAGAAATACCTGTTAAACAAGGATATTTGTTTAAACGCAGTAGTAAATCTTTAAAAGAATGGAAAAAAAAATATGTTACATTGCTAGAAGATGGTCGTTTAACTTATCATTCTAGTTTACATGTAACTATCACGTAATTAAATATTTTTATAAAAAATCATTCATTATGTTTAACAAATTTACATATGTTTCCAGGACTATATGAATGATACTAATGGTAAAGAGATATTATTACAATATGTAACCGTAAAAGTGCCTGGAAAAACGCCTAAAGGTTCTAAGTCATCCAATGCTCAAGGTGCAAAACTATTTGTTTAAATTATTCTACTTTTCAGATTGTAAATAAATTGATTTTATGTATATCTTAATTTGCAGAAGATAGTTTTGAATTTTCTATCATTTCATTAGAAAATAAGACATGGCATTTTGAAGCAAATAATGCCGAAGACAGAGATAGTTGGATTTCAGCTATAGAACAACAAATATTATCGAGTTTACAAAATAGCGATGGTGATAAAAAAAACGAAACTGATGCTTTCAAAATGCACTGTATAAAGAACAAAGTATCGGGAAATGATGCTTGTGTAGATTGTGGTGCAGCTAGTAAGTAGTTTACTTATAAATTTATTAGAATAATCATTTTTTTAGTTTATTTTTAATATTCAGTTTGTAATTCTATTCAATTTTTAGATCCAGACTGGGCTAGCTTAAATCTAGGTGTATTAATGTGCATTGAGTGCTCAGGAATACACAGAAATTTAGGTTCGCATATATCAAAAGTTCGATCTTTGGATTTGGATGATTGGTCGTAAGTGCGATTAGTCATATATTCTTGTATGTTTTGTCGTGTCAGTTTTTTGACATATGTAATAATAAATACAGCAAAATACCATATAACGAAATTAAGAATGTTATGAATAAAAGATTTGTTTTTGAATATATAGTTATACATATAAATACGTATTTATATTAGTACTGCATGCTAACTATGCACGTACAGCATAAAATAGCTTTGACATTAATTTTAGCGCAGGTCAGTTAAGTGTAATGTTAGCCCTTGGTAATGATATAGCAAATAGCGTTTGGGAATATTGTTTAAACGGGAAACAGAAACCAAATTCCGATTCTCTTAGAGAAGAGAAGGAACAATGGATTAGATGGAAATACGAAGATAAAATATTTTTACCACCAATTAATCCAAACATTTCTTTAGGAAAGTTGCTTATTGATTCGGTTTGCCGGTAAATATTTTTAGACTTTTGAATGTAGTGTATTACTATATATTATATATATAATATGTTATGTATACTATAATTTACTGTATTAAATGTAATGTAGGGGTGATATGAGAGCATTTACATTATGCTTAGCCAGATGTAGTTATGAAGATATTAATATGCCTGTCAGTATGGAAGATTTAAGAACGCCTTTGCATTTGGCTTGTGCCACAGGAAATTTAGCTATGGCACAACTTCTAATATGGGTGTGTATTTACTCTTGACCGATTATATATATATATATATATAAATTATAATTGGTCATATATTATTTATTTATCACAATTGGTATATACTTAATTTTATAAAAATTAAGTATGTATATATTATTGAATAATTACAGCATAAAGCAAATCCACAAAATTTAGACCATGAAGGACGTACATGTATGTCGTATGTACGAGCGCTTGAAAGAACGCTTGACAATTCATCGGATTCTATGGAAATGCAGAAACTTCTTGAAGTTCTTGAACAAGCTAGTGTTTCTGGAGTAGATGATGTAGAAACTTCTCAGTATTAAAATTGTTTATATTATGTACTTATTACAAAGTCATGCTTAAAATGACGTAGAGTTGATAATCATTACTGATACTCAGAAAGACAACCAAAGTATGTTAAGTAAATTCGAAGCATTACGGTCTATTAGATAGAAGATTTATATTATATGTGACGATATATATCTTTTTAATGATGGCTATAAAATTCATAAAAAATTTGACCAGATATTTTAACAAATATAACATACTTTGCATATATATTTGTACATTGAAAAGTAGTTTGAATTTAAGAGTATAATTCATATTATATATAAATATATATATTTAACAAGGTTTAGGTCAGTGAAAGTAATGTCTAATAGTAAATTGGAGTGTACATTATCAATGACTGAGAGTACAAACACTCATAAATCTAGTTATATTTATACTGAATACATTTAATGTATTTGAAAAATGCTTTTACAATTTTTATTTTATTAATTATGAATTAAACATATAATTACCTCGCAATATAATTGAATTACCTTTAATACCTGGCCAAATAAAGTTTTCGCTGTTTCTTTATCAAAATTTGTTGGAACCATTATCTTATTTAAATTTATTAGACGAACAAATTGCATTAATCACATGATATCCTTCGCTTATTATACTTGCGTCATCTAAAAAAAAATATCATAAATTTTATGTATGTATTTTCCTAAATATTATATTTTTAGTCTATAAGAGTTTTACCTAAAGGATATATATTCGTTGGAAAAATCGATAACTGGCTATAATATTTAATTGTTGTTAGTTTCGTCAATTTAGATTGAGATGAAAGAGAAATTCTTCTCACACTTGGAATTCTAAAAATAATACATAATTATAGTTATGTAAAAATGATATGATATATTAAATTACTCATACATTAACTTACTCATTTAAATGATTTATTGCCGAAATAGGAAGGGGAAGTGTTAAAGTATAAATTTTATTTTTATGTAAATCACAGCAATTTTGTATTGGTGATTTCTCACTGACATACTGTTTGAATGCACAGCAAAACAAAGTTCTTAGATCGTCATTTGAACATCCTAAATTATTTTGTATTAATAATATAAATTCCAAACATACATGAATTTGTACCAAATATAACAATTTTTTTCTAAAAACACACACATATTTATGTATCTATATATAATAACAATGTAATATATCTTTATTACACATACCTATAGGTATTAACTGTAAACTCATTATAAGATGCATTTTTTAATTTTTGTTGAACATCATGCAATTCACCAAATTTTATATTTGCTAAAATGGATATGTAATCTTTGCATAATTTTTCAAAACCCATATCTATAACATATTCTAATGGTAAACTACCCGATAATAGATGTGAAATTATTTTTTGCTGATGTGGATTGGTAATAATTTTAGCAAATTTTGTTGAGTTTGTAAAATTGACCTAATATATATCAATTAAAAATACCTTTTTTCAGACAAATTTAATACAAAATATAAAATTGATGTTTTTCTTAAATATTTATATTATACCTGTGGCAAACAGTCATTTATTATAATTTCTTCAAGCACTGTATGAATACATTTTGTCATTTCAAAATAATTTGAATTTTCTGTAAGTGTTAATATTATTTTAAATATTAATAAATATTAAAATATGTATACAAATATATTAAATAAGATATACTCACTTATTAATAATTCCCATAAAAAATCTGTAAAATCCAAATTGTATCTAAATGATAGACTTTCTATACATTGATGGATTTTCATATCATTTTCTGTATTTTCTTCATTCGAAAAATTAGTTTTATGTTTCTTAGTGTCACTAGTATTTCTAAAACTGTGATCTCCACTTAATAAAAGATTTAAATTGTTCAGTATTGTAACAAATTCCTATTTTGAGTAATTATAAAAACATTACTAAAATTTAAAATGCCACATAAATATTATAAATACAAAAATTTTGAAATACCTCTTCATATGGATTAATAAAATCATGTGGGAATTTCAAAGGAACTGAATTATAAGAATCTTCATTTTTTGTATAATTTTCCACTATATTCAGATATTGATTTAACAATAATAGTTGTTTCCATAATTCTTTCAAAGGACTATTATTTGAGTTTGTAGCAATTTGAGCAATCTAAGCAAAACATGAAATAATTAGAAAGTATCTTTAATCTATTTTAGTTAATTACTCTTTTCTTACTATAATATTTTTAGATGTTCTTGTGGGTGTACTTGATAAACTACAGGTGTCTACTTCAACACTTAAACTCCCTTCAAAGTTACTTATATTTTTATCTTTGACAATTATTTCTTCTTTTGTTCCAAACAAATCAAAAATATTAAATGCAGAAACAATAATCTAGATGAATCAAATTAAATTACAAATATTGTATTATATTACAGTTGTTCATCAAAGAGGAATACTAACATCTTGCTCACATGCACGTGAAAGTTGCAAGTGTTCTTGAAATATTTCAGAGGAACAGTTTTTAACAGTTTCGTAAGTTTCATTATCAACTGTACAAGCTTCTATGGTTGTAAACCATTCTCCTTCAATTATTGCACCTAACAATTTGCTTCTCTTATGATCTTTGCTGTCGCAAAGTGCAAATATTGGAGGAAAAGAATCATTTATGAAGTCAATACATACATTCAATGCTATGCTAAAATGAGATCATACTCTGTAATTGTTACTAATTCTATTTATAGTATAGAGATCATTCTTAATGTAATACCATGCTTCTGTTCTACTCAGTGGTAAATACTTTTCTTCTCCTTCATACCAATTTTGCTTTACCAAAATTGTGCTATCTTCAAAATCATCTTCTCCTTTGAATGAATACTTCAAAGGTGATCCAGTGAGATCAAGCTCTAAAATAATTGAGAAATTTTTATAGTAATAACTGAAAAGAAATTTGATTATGTAAAGAACTTACGACTAGTTTCATCATTATCAGTACGTTTCGTACAATCATTGATAGACTCAGATGCCTAATAAAATAATAAAAAACATATTTACTAAATTGTACTGTCCTAAAAATGATAAAATCACAAGCACAAATCACAGCACAACGTACTTTTTTGTACAAAATAAAATACGGCGTATTTTTGAACTTTGGAAAAATACGATTTACATATGACAAAGAAATGTTATCTATCTTTACAGAAGGAGCCAAATTATTTCGCAACGTCTCAAGTTCAAGCATTATAATTATAATCCAAATAGCATTAATTATAATCCAAAGTCGAAAAGCAATTTATTCCATTCTATCTCGAATTGTTCGAACAATATTTGAATTGCAATTTCAAACGTTATTTGAAATATTGCGTTCAACAATACATCATAATTTAATATCGATTAAGCTACATTTCTATGTGCTATTGTACGATTCCAGATTTCAATTTTCAAAATTAATATTCACGTAATTTTACACACATACATATTTGTCTGTCGTAAATATAATTTTTACTATGCAGTTAATAAAAAACACGTGTAACATGTACGAATACATGGAAGGACGATGTTTTGTCGACTTTTGGAACGGCGTTGAGGTATTCGTTGTTCCTTTAATCCACAGATAGGCCGTTTCGCGTTTGCGCTACTTACAGTAGGTGACATCGATATGTCAATACTTGTAATGTACTAAACTTCGAAAAGAATATGATGTCGTAAAAACAGACGAAGACACCCAAAAAATAATTGTAGTTACGTATAGTGGTTAGGTTATGAAAAAATCGAGCAAATATTGGACAGGTGTGGGTAACATTTCAACGGTGTGTTTATTCGACTCAAAGAGGGACCGTGAGGACCTCGAAGACAGTCTTCCAGATATTTATATGAAGGAACAAGACATTCCTGAATATTTGGAAGGCTGTGGGCTGACCACCTGCACAGCCGCCGATATGCCTGAGGACGTGGATGTCCTACAGGACAGTAAAGAGCAGACGAAGGAGAAAAAATTATCGTCCGCGTCCATAGCTGGACCCGACACCAAAAAGACGGTAACTGTCAAACACCCGGAGTCGAATAAACCGAAGCCGACGACGAAGAAGGGCAAACCGTTACAGGCGGATCTAGACATCTCGAAAGAATTTACCAGATGTAGGGATGAGTATCTAGAACGGTTGGATTTAAGTAAATCGAATATTACTCATCTGCCTAGCACGGTGCGGGACTTGACGCATTTGGTCGAGTTTTATCTCTACGGGAATAAACTCGTCACGTTGCCGTTAGAGATCGGTTGCCTTGCAAATTTGGAAACATTGGCACTGAGTGAGAACTCTTTGACAAGCTTGCCGAACACATTAGAGAATCTGAAGTCTTTGAGAGTACTTGATTTAAGGCACAACAAATTGAGCGAAATACCCGATGTCGTGTACAAATTGACAAATCTCGCGACGTTGTTTTTACGCTTCAATCGGGTCCGATACGTAAGTGATGACATACGAAATTTAACGAATTTGACAACGTTGAGCCTGAGAGAGAACAAAATCAGAGAACTTCCTGCTGGTATTGGCAAATTGGTCAATTTGATAACATTCGATGTTTCTCACAATCATTTGGAACATTTGCCCGAGGAAATTGGGAATTGTGTCCAGTTGTCTACACTTGATTTACAACACAATGAGCTTCTCGATATTCCAGATACAATTGGGAATTTAGTCTCATTGACAAGACTAGGACTTAGATACAACAGATTAACTAGCATCCCAAAATCTCTGGCAAATTGTAAACTAATGGATGAGTTTAGCGTAGAAGGAAACCAAGTATCTCAATTACCAGATGGTCTTCTTGCGAGTCTCTCTGAGTTGACAACAATCACATTGTCCAGGAATGCTTTTACCGCGTACCCATCGGGAGGACCAGCTCAGTTCACAAATGTTTATAACATCAATCTTGAGCACAATAAAATAGATAAAATACCTTATGGTATTTTTTCTAGAGCAAAAAACCTTGCAAAATTGAACATGAAAGAAAATCAATTGACTGCTTTGCCATTGGATATTGGTACATGGGTCAATATGGTTGAATTGAATTTGGGTACAAATCAACTTGCAAAGATTCCTGATGACATTCAATGCCTTCAAAATTTAGAAGTGTTGATACTTTCTAACAATGTATTAAAACGTATTCCTGCCAGCATAGCAAACTTGCGTAAACTCAGAGTGCTAGACCTTGAAGAAAATAAAATTGAATTTTTACCCAATGAAATTGGTTTTCTAAGGGACTTACAGAAGTTAATTTTACAATCTAACCAGGTAACTTCATTGCCAAGGGCGATTGGTCATTTAACAAATTTAACATATTTGAGTGTTGGAGAGAACAATTTAAATTATTTACCTGAAGAAATTGGTACACTAGAAAATTTAGATTCACTTTATATAAATGACAATGCTAACTTACACAATTTGCCATTTGAATTAGCTTTATGCTCAAATCTCAGTATTATGTCAATTGAAAATTGTCCACTTTCTCAAATACCACCAGAAATAGTTGCAGGAGGACCTTCATTAGTGATCCAGTTTTTGAAAATGCAAGGACCTTATCGATCCATGTAACAAAATTAAAAAAAGATTATTTCCTGTATTATTTAGATGTCGATTCTTAAGAGTGATACAAAAGCAAATGATATTTGATACCAATATTTATTAACACTACATTCTCACTGTAATGATTTCACATGAATAAAAATTATATAAATATTATGGATATATAATATATGAAAATGTGGATATATGATATATGAAATTGTGCATATATTTGTATTCTCTATAAGATAAATAATGAATAATCACATGTCTGCGATACATTTTCAGTATGAAGAAAAAGAAACATAAAATATTGTAAAATTGGTGCTGATTTGAAAATATGCACAACAAATAGAACTACAAGAGAATAAAGTCATAATGAAGTATTTTAGATATAGTAATAACATAAATTATACTCACACTTTATTAATATAATATATGTAGTTTTATGATATTTTATTCATTTATTCAGTTCATTTTATGTATATTATTTAGTGATATTATAAAATGTAATATATCTTAATTTGCATGCAATATACTGTTTTACCATTTTACATTATAGTATGCATCATAGTTATCTTATAACTTCAGAAATTAATATCTAGTATTTACATAGAAGATTCACTGAGTTTACAAGTTTGTTACATGGAAATACTATTTTTAGAGACATAATTATTTTTAGAATTTACTATAAAGTAAACTATAATGGAATATAATGGAATATAAGATAATATTATCAATTGAAGGAATATAATTAAGAATCGGCATCAATAATTTTACATTTTAGTTATTGCTATTCATTGCCATACAAACAAGATATTTTGATGAAAAAATTTTTAGTGATAAGTTTATCTTGTATTATAGTGTGAAAGTATATACTATTAGTTATTTTATGTTATATTATAGGAGCTTCAATTGTGAGAGGTTTTACAAGAAACCACTCTTCCAAAATGCAAAAAACATGTATTTATATAATTTAGCATACTATAATGAATAAGGTATTATTTTTTTATTTTTAAGACTAAACATAGACAGTTTTATATTTAAACATTCTGAACAACTATAAAAAAATATATTTTTTTCACATTTATTGAATAAATTGCAATATTCAGTGGCAATTATAATATATACATTTATCTATACCTGTGTATGTTTACAAAAGAGTTAAAATTTGCGCCATTTTTTAATTAATGTACTAATTAGTGCAATTAAAATTTTTAATTGAATCATTAGTATGCTCTCATCAGATGAAGGAGCTGCCAAATATAAGCATTCTATTATCTACTTTTAATATCATATTATTACGAGATCAGTTTTTGCTAAGTTCCATATATGCTATCTTTTGAAATTAAAATTAAGTATTTTCATTGATTATAAAATTTTTATCTTTTCTTTGCACAAAAATGTAGTGCCAATATCAATTACAAATAATATATATATATATGTATATATATATATGTGTGTGTGTGTGTTTTATATTGGATTCATAATTGTAACAGTTGATTGGATTTTATTTATAGCCAACAATATATTGATTTTTTAAAACATGTTATATGTTCTTACACTCATATACCCGATACCATTTTGTTTAAAAACTAATAATGTAATCATAAAAATTTAATTTATAATCTATTTTATTTTAACTATGCAATGGCTGTGCAATAAGAAATTAAATAATTAGCACAATTTATTTGTATATGTGGTTGTATTAATTGTGATTCAAAATAATATTATATTAATATATTGGAAGTTAGCAAGCAGATATTTTGTATCCTTTAATTATTTCAATATATTGTAGGCATTGATATTTATATTACTATATTTTTGTTAATCAGTAAAGGTTATAGGTGTTGAAACATTATTGTGTGTGATATAAGTAAATTCTACTATTCATAGATCTTACTTCAATTTTATTAAGTTATAATATTTTACAAATGAAAATAGAAACTTAGTAATTTTGAGAATTATTAAACTATATAAAACATACAATGGAACTTAGCAAACTTTCAATATAATTAAGAGAAAGTATGTCTATTCTGTAATTATTCATTGTCATAAATGTATGATTTATTATGTGTCTATTTACACAATTTTTCTATACTAGTTCTGTTTCAACTACAATGTCATGTAACGTATTTATATTAAACTTTGTCTTTCAAAGCTCTACAATTTGTCCATGAAATAAAGACATAAAATAATATTGTACAAGTGAGATTTTATCTAACTTGATGTTAAAATTTTTTCTTTATGCAATAAAACAAATAACAAATTTCATAGATGACATCACTAATATAAGTTTTACGGTATTAAATAATAACTTATAAATTAATTGAAGTTACAGATATCAATGTCAATTTATTCAATGTAAATTTCATGTTAAATTGCTTACCTTTGTATTATCTATCTTTGTTATAAAAAATAATAGTTGTGTATATAATTTACAAAATATCAAACATTTATCTTCTTTATTAAATATACAAAGTATTAGGATTAAAATATTATTTTCTTTTAACAATATATGTGTATGTTTAAAACACATTGAAATATTAAATGAATATCAGAATATATGCAAAAGTTGCCAAAAGAAATGCTACAATACAAATTGTTGTGATAAACTGTTCAACAGTTTTAAAATACATAAGTAATACTATAGTATAATTGGAAAATGATTAAATTTGTATGGAAACTTAAAATAAATTACTTCTGAAATTATAATCTTGTTGAATAGTCTATCAAATGCGATATTATGTATATAATTTTAAAATGATATTAATGTAATTTTATATGACTATATAGGATGCTGTATATTTCTAAATATATGATTATAACATAAACATATTTGAAAATTTGATTTTGTTACAATTGTTTAATACTGAAATTAATTTATAGAAAAGCTTTATTAATATTTTTCGCAATATTACAATTATACTGCATTATTTTCAAAAAATACTTTTATAAATACATTAATTCAATTCTCTTATTCCGAATTCCTTACATTTTTTTTCAAATTTAAGGGATATAAGACTTTGTTTTTTCATAATAAATCTGCCAAATTTTATATGTTTGGTGTTATAATGCTGTAATTAAAAATACAATGAGAAATGTAATCTTATAAATCATATAACAAATAATAGCTATATTACATATACATATACCTCTTTAGGTTTCTCAATAATTTTAGATGAAGAAGGCAGTTTATTTTCAATTAAAATATTATCACGAAAATTAAATTTTTTGAACAATTTTTTTGCACTCGTAAATCCTTCGATCACATTCGTATTTAATTTCCGATTTGTCATAGTATTACGTGTATTGAGAAGATTTTCTGATGTAGTTATTAATCTAAAATTAATATGCATAAATCACTTCTTAATTGGAAATAGCAAAGTAATATCTATGAATTTGATAATACTTTAAGAGTTCCGCTATTTCTTCCGAAAATGATTTTAAATTATCCAAAGTAGATTTGCAGTGTCTTAACTCGGTTTCTGTATTTTTGTTACAAATAAGCATTATCTCGTTATTGATAATATTAATTTCGTCTTTTAATTTCAATATTTCATCACATATATCGATTTTAGTTGAATTTTTATCAGTTACAGTATTATATTTACATTCGTGACGTTCATTTACTTTTGTAATATTTACTTTTGGATTGAAAAAAGAATTAAAATTATGTCTCAAGGAAAAATTCCAAATTTCATTACAAAATTCATCTTCTGTAATCCATACTTTGTAATTTATATTATCCTTTAAAGTAAAACAACGTTAAAATAAATGTAAAGCAAATGTCTATATATATATTTACACACTTAATAAATAAAATTTAAAACCAACAATGTACCAAGTCTTTATATTTTTCTTTGAGTATTTCTTTTTTCAGTTGAAGGACGTTAATTTTTGTAGTTAAAATGTGTCTAATAATCTGTAGTTCTGTACTCTTATTAATATAATTCATCAAATGTAAATCGTACTCTTCCTTATTTAAAGAAATCATGACTTCTTAATGAAATACATGCAAATGTTTCATATTCATATATGTCATATAGTTAAATCTATATTATATATTGTATTGTTTATAACATGATTACGAATAATATACATATGTATGTGCTGATACTAATTAAGGATGTTGTTTTTTTAGAAAAAACATCTAAAAATATATATTTACTGTAATTCATTTCATAAACTGATTTATTAAATATATATATATATATCTCTCTGAAAAGAATTTTATATTTTTTTCTTCTTTTTCTTTCAATCTGTGGGACCATATATAACGTCTGATTGGTGGTTTCTATTAAAGGTAGTTTCAAATAACCTATCATGTACCTTCAAAAGCAATTACGCTTTGTCTTATGGCGTGTTGGAAGCTTGTCCAGTGAAGTAACCTATTTCATGTAAACAAACTTCATTTAAATCATATTCGTGATCGGATATGAACTATTAACGAATTAAATATTATAAAGTATGAAAATAAATATAATATGAATTCAAACGGGCTAAAAGTATTAAAGAAAAAGTTAGTATAAAATTGAAAAGTTTTGTGAGATTCCTTTGTCTCTCAATCATTTTACTAATTTGTTTCTCATAAATTATTATAATTGAGGGATAATGGATAACATAGCGGTATAAATATAATTGATTCAAGTCATTTTATATTTACAGCAATTCTTGTCCACAAAAAGTACAATGTCAAAAATGTCTAGAAATGGGACATTGGAGTTATGAATGTAAAGGGAAACGAAAATATTTACATAGATCTTCGCGCACAACACAGTTAAAGAGAGCTCTGCAAAAGCAACAAGAATCTAACAGGTAAGATTGCAAAAAAGTGATTAAATCAATAAATTTCAAGGTTTAAGGATTCATAATGTTACATTATACATATTTACAGTGAAGAACAGAAGAAAGAAGTAAAGAAAAGTTTACAAAAAAGAAGTCGTTTACAAAAAAAAATGAAAGGAGAATCTAGTAGTTCCAGTACTGATAGCAGCAGTTCCAGTAGTAGTAATGATAGCAGTAGCAGTAGCTCATCTTCAGACAGTGAATCAGATTCTACTGATAGTGTTTCCAGCAGTAGCAGTGGTAGCAGTAGCAGTAGCAGTAGCAGCAGCAATAGTAGCAGTAGTAAAAGTAGTAATCATTCTAACAGTTTTCTATTTTCAAAAAAGACATCCTAACTAAACAATTCTAGATAAAAAAAATAAAAAAGACCTTATTATATATTCATTTTTTAAATATTTGTGAAATACTTTACCAATTCATACATATTAATAAAGATGTGTATGATAATTTTGTTATAAAAAATTAAGATGACTAAGTACTTATCTGTAACATATCTTTTAAATATATTTTAAATAATAATTTATATAATGCAGCTTATAATAAGAATTTTATTATTTCTACTATGATACCCTCCTAGTTATATCAGGTATTTATAAATGAAAGAGATCATAATTTTGTACTAATAACTTTTTCATAAATTAAGGAGTATTTATTACAAAATCAAAAGCGTGAAATATAAATATTAAGGAATTAATGAAAATAATTTTTTATTGAACTATTCGTAATATAATTCGTTGTAAAAAATTTACGTTTATATGATAATATGCTGTAAATAAAATTACGATTGTATTCTTATTATTTTAGTGTTTGATTAGTCATCAATCCCTTCAGGAAGCGTTTGTATTATTACTTTCCTTTTTGAATCATAAAGAAAATTATTTGATTTGAAAATGTCACTTTCATAAAATGAATGGAGATTGTATATATCGATTTGTTTAGCCTAAAATAAAATGATGATATTAATATAATGAGGTTTATAAATTTATGAAAAAAAAAAAAAAAATAGATAATACATACTCTATCCAATAAATCTTTTTCTGAAATTTCAATTGTTGTAATACGACTTCCACGTATTGCTTTTTGAAATGCTAAAGTATCTAACGTAAGTTGTCTAAGTATATAATATAGAAGTTCACTATGATCTTTCTTATATGATAAATATTTCTGGAATGTCTAAAAAAATAGTAGAATATTTATTATAGTTTTAATAAAATCATTCATTATTGTTTACGATCATTAAACATACCTGGCGCATACTTTTCATTACTGAATATTTCTGTGTATCAACAAAACTATCAAGCATCATTCTGATGGCAAGATTAATATCACTTTCTTGAACGTGATCACGTAAATGTATTTTAGCGCTTGCTTCAGCCATACGTATAATGCTTTCTATATGTCGTACAGTAATTGGTAAACTTCCAGTGGCCTATTAATTGTCAGAATAAAGTTTGTAAAGTTGTATTATAAGAATTATAAATACTTTTAACTTACCAAACTCTCTTGTCTTAATTGACTGTATAATTTTGCTACTTTATCTTGATCAATGTTTGTTAACTTAGGATGAATATTTTGTCGCGCGTAAACTATATATTTTTTTAAAAGGTCTTGTGGAATAGATATATCATTTGTATTTTCCTGTACTGATGTTACTTTTCCTGTATTTGACGGATGATGCTTGATATGAGAATTTACAACAAATTTAGCTAAATGTCGGTCTTGCATAGGATCTATTTCATCTTTTACTACACAAAGAATGTCAAAACGAGACAGAATTGGTTCTGATAAATCTACCTAATTAAAAAGATTATAACATAATTATAACTTGCATGATATAAATATATGTATACTTCTTTATTTTATGTTATATCTTACGTTTTCTGAAAACGTCATACTAGCATCATATCTGCCTCCAATGGGATTGGATGCAGCTATTACTGAACACCTAGCATTAAGCGATGTGACTATTCCAACTTTTGAAATAGAAATACTTTGTTGTTCCATAGCTTCGTGAATAGATGTTCTATCTTGATCATTCATCTAAAAATACAATAATAATTATGTCATCATAAACATTTTATACAAAATATACCTTATCGAATTCATCAATAAGACAAATTCCTTGGTCAGCAAGAACCAAGGCGCCAGCTTCTAATGTCCACTCTCGTGTAGTTGGTGACCTTCGTACAAAAGCAGTCAATCCCACAGCTGAAGCTCCTTGACCTGTTGCAAATACTGATCTTGGTGCAATTTTTTCGACATATTTCAAGAATTGAGATTTAGCTGTTCCTGGATCTCCACATAATAACACATTAATGTCTCCTCTTACTTTATGTTTGTTACCTATGTAATTGTGATTTTTATTGAATAGTATTCTTAAAATACATACAAAATAGATAGAAATAAAAATACCAGGATTTTTTGATTCTCCTCCAAATATTGCTAAAGCTAAAGCTCTTTTTATGTATTCATGACTATAAATCGAAGGCGCAATACTTGCGACAATGCGATCCATAATTTGATGATCTTTACTTAAATTAATAATAGAAGAAATATCTTCTTCAGTTAAAGATTCTACAATTTCCTTTGAATCTTTCACTATTAAATGATTAGCAAGAAGAACCGTTGCAAATACAGGAAAACCCTTAAACCCGAAATAAATGTTAATTAATTAATATAAAATTCTGAAATAATTACAGGTAAATATTTTTTACCTGCTCTGTGTTCAAAGAACCATCGTAATTATTTGTATAAATAGCGGTAACGTCTACTTCATCTCCAGGTTTACAACGATCACAGAGATCTGATAGAAGAATACATTCTTTGCTTCTAGGTATTCTTCCTGCAGGAATTTTACCTGGTGATTCTTGAATTGTAATTTTTTGATAGTTTCTGTATATTGTTTGTTCCATGTTAATCTGTAATTAGTTTTACTATATTCATAGATTTTACTATATATTACATAAATAATATTATTTAACATTTATATTTACCATAAAAGGTCCAATGCTTTGACATTCAGGGCATGAACCTGGCTTAACTTCAGTATTTTGATTTTGTACAAAAGGACCAAGTACATATCCACATTTTGTACAATCATATTTTACAACAGATAATTGTGGAAGTACTCCTGTAGTTGCAGTAACAACTCCTAGAGTACGTACTAGTTGATTCAAATGTAATTTCCTAATTTTTATCATAAACGATATGTAATATTTTTGAGTAAATTATTTTTCTCAATATATAACTATATTTTACCTAAACGTGCGAATTTCTTCTATTAATGGCAGCTCTGATATTCTGACATGAATTTCACCAGTAACTCTTTCATAGCTGGGAAATATATTTAATACTAGTTCCTTTGCAACTTCATCAAATATTTCTAACATTTGAAATGGTGCTTCTGGTAGAAAATAAGCCAAAACATGCTCTTTACTAGCAAGAATAGGAAATTCCACAATAAAGCTAGACTATTAAAAAATAATATAAATATTTTTTATGCCTTAACACGAGGATTATTAGTATTAATAATATAAAAATATTACTTGATTACTCTCACACATATGACGAATTCGCTCTTTATACATATATTGTCCTTTTGAATTAGTATGTGTACGAAGAAAACTTTTAAAACGATTAGAAATTTCAGTTTTTGGTCCTAACATAGATACCCACTCTTTAATTGAATGGCCTTTTGTATCTTCTAAATTTTCAATAGATTCAATCATCTATGATAAAAATAAATATTATTATTAATATAATAGAATAAGTTTTACAATAACATAAGAAGCAAGAAAAAGCCTTACCTCTACGTCTTCAATTTCACCCACTGCTGCTTTCTCAGCCATACGTCTCTTACGGGCCTGTGTTTCTTCTTCGTCACTTTCATCTTGAATATGATCAAAGATATGTTATACTATATTTGGAAAAAGATATATTAATTATATTATTACAAAAGCTAGACTATACCATAAAGTAAATATCTATCATCTCTAATAATCCCTGCTGCTCTGTCTCTTTTAAGCATAGCAGTTTCAGCAGCTACACGTTCTCCTTGAGACATTTCTGAATACTCCTCATCATCCACTACATCTGGATCGTATCTATCTAATGCTGGCATAGGTCGATAATCACTGAAATATCTAAAACTTAATACATGTATGTTCTTTTTGAATATGGAAAAATTTTAAAAACTTTACGCTTCCATGTTGTCCCCAAATAATTCTTCTCCTTCTTCTTCTCCTTCTCCCTGATTAACATCATTATCATTACCAAGTAAATCAGCTTCATCCTCAAATGGTTCATCTATATCTGGTGCAGGAGATGTCATTGCCTCTGTATGTCTATCAGAGCGTGCTGGGCTGCTAGAATCCTAACAAAAATACAATTAGAAGATTTAGATTATATCAATAGAAGATTTAGCAGAAAATAATACAAGAACTAGAATAATACATAAAGAAAAAAGAAATGTGTTGGGAAGGAATTTAGACTAATGTATACATTTGTAATGATTTAAAAATTACATAGTTCCTAATATCTTACCATTGTACTTGTGTTAAAATAATTAGAATGCAATAACTATTAAACAAATTCCTGTATGTAGATACAAAATAGATCTCAAATAACACTTCCTTCGTTCTGTTTTCAGACTTAAACTGAAAAGTAAGAATTGGCGGGAATTTCTTTTAGATCATACTTATGCCAACAATTCTCAATAAATAACTATAACCAACCAATAGTAGAAATTCTTTACAGGAAATGAAGGAAACAAACCGTATTAGGCATCAGATCAATCGTATATATTTTTATTAATTTATTTAATTTTTATTAATTTTACTTTGACATAAATTTTACTAGTACAAAGATACATTTACAATTACAAATAATTTTTTTTAATAAAAATATAGCTAATAAAATAACCTAACAAGACAAAATGACAGAATTTTTAGGGTCATTTGTTGAGCAAGAAGTGTGTTTTAAAAAATATAAAGATTGTAATTTGTCTACTACAGAAGTAATTTCTGCTTGTATATTTGCTGCTCTTACAACAAGATAAAGAGATTCTTGAAAACGTTTTTGCGCAATTCTTAAACTCTGTGGAACCAATACTCCAAACCATTTTATAGGATCTTGAATCTCATCTCCATAATTATCTGACTTCTTCAAGCTTATGTCAAAATTTGGAACTATTTTACCAGTTTCCTCAGTTAATTTTGTCTCTAATTCAAAGAGTGTGATTACTCTTTCATCTTCAATAGGAACCTGTAAAACGCTTATGCTTTCCTTTCCTCGTATATACTTTGCCTTAGCTAATTCAATATAACCATCACGCAGTATTTTCTCCATTTGTACATTGACATCAATTTTCTCTTGCATTAACTCCAAATTACGCAATAAATTTTCATCAATAGCTTTACATATGTCATCTATGCTTTCATGCATATTGTCTGCTATTATTGTCTTGTAACACAAAAGATATCTGTCAGAATACGCAATATTATGTCTAGAATATATAAAAATATAATATAAAATACATATAATATCACATACTCTTTATTATAATTTTATTAATAATATTATTTAATAAATTCATACATTTCTATTACATACCAAATATGGAAGTTACCCCTTTTTATAAATAATTAATTTATAGATAAATAATATTCTCATGAATGATTGTTTTTAATTTTACAGAATCAACTGTTTTAATAACTTTATATATAAATATAATTTATTTATATTATCTTTTTGAAGTAGCATATATGGTACACAATTTTCTGAAGCTATAAAGATTGTAGCATTGGCGACACTGCTGGCAGCGCTATAACATCTAGGTTATGTACTGAGAAATTGACGCATCGTATAATTTTATAAATATTAACAATGGCTGTTAAAGAAAAACAAATAGACACTATTGATGAAATAGAATGGAATGTTGAAAATGAAATTCAATTATTCTTTGCTATGAATGGACATAAACCTGTTGGTAAGAACTTAAATTCATATGACATTAATCTAAGTTATTTACATTAGTAACAAGAGTAATAGTTAATACTTTTATGCAAAAGATATATGTTCATGTAAAAGAAATGCAATTATTCGGTTAGATTTAATTAAATGTTCTTTTTTCAAGGTATTAATAAATACTTTCATATGGTTTGCGTATGGGAAAAATTTCGTGCTGCCATTCACAAAGATGTGTCATTAAAAACGATTTGGGAACACTTAGAATCAATGTATGATCTAATGGCTCTGGTATTTATTGTTACATTTTAAAAAGTTATTTATTATTTATTATTAAAATAATATTGAAAGTAGCATTATTTTAGGATGATATGGAGGATTTACCATTTCCTAGTCAAGAGGTAGATTTTTCTTTACCAGAGCAAGAGTTCTTAGGATCGCTTAAATGTCGAAAAAGAGAGGAGCCAGAATTAAAACTAAAGGAACAGAGAGAAAAATTTAAGGAATTTAAAAAAGAGAAAGATATTAAAGACCCTATGAAAAAAGACACTGTCCTTCGTGATCTTAAAGGAAGTAAAGATATTGATAAAAAAAAAGAAGAATTTAAAAAATATGTCAAGGACATAGAATTAAAAAAAGATAAGCTTAGAGAAATTAAAGATGTTAGGAAAGACTACAAATCTTCTAAAGGACGATCAAAAGGAAAAGATGATTTCGAAGAAGCAGGTAATGTGACATATCAAGATTTGTCTTGATATTTTTAATATATATGATATATTTAAACAAACTTTTTTGTTCAGCATTTAATGGTAAAAAGGAACGTAAAGATTCTGATTCTGGCCGTGAAAGTTTAAAAAGAGGCCCAAAACGACCAACTAGACAAAGTATGGATAGCACATCTAAAGCATCTTCCAGTCCACGAGATACACCTCCACCAAAACGAAGAAGAATATAACAATTTGCTTGAAACTGTTGCTTGTATTTCATATTGTACATTGTTTACATTTTCCTGTATGGACAAAATGTGAATCGTGTATTTTTTTATAAACTACACAAAGACATATATATGAAAGACAAAATTCAATTTTATAGAAAATTTTACATTCAATTGCTGTAAATATAACATTCTAACAGAGAAGAAAACAGTACTAAATGTATAAGAATTGTATATATGTTTTTTCATAAAGAAAATGAACATGTAAACTTGATGTGATTTGTTAATAAAATGCTTGTAATCTATGTATAATGGTTGTAATTATATTTGCAGAACCAAATATGTTGTGAAAATGATACATAAAATAAAATACTCAATTAAATATCAACCAGTATTTATTATAAAAATTGTAGACACCTTCACCGACATTGACGTTTGAAACCAGCTTGGCTCGTACCATTGGAATTATTGATCTTCATTTTTGTTGATGGAATGAGTAAGAATCCAGACACTATTTGAATCGATATTTAGTTGATATTTTCGTGCCGGCAATAAATTCTTTCCATGTGTTTATCGAAGTCTTCTTGCTTCACGTTCGGACTCCAATAAGGTTAAGAGATCACCTTCTCGTACCGGGCCTTTTACATTCCTGATAATCTGTCGATTTTGTTCGCCCAGAAATTCCACTTTTACTTGTGTACATTGTCCTTGCGAACCAGTCCTACCTAGGACTTTTATAACACGAGCCAAAACTACTGGTTTATCCATGATTCTAACGTCTCACGTGGCTTTGCAACAGTGAAGAAATGTGCTTGTTGCGACAGTAAAAGACGTTCTACGGAAGTGAAAGAGCGTCTATCACTTTATAATCCAGCAAAGATGGCAACTTCCGGCAGGCTTTTCCAGCAGTATTGTCAAATTTAACACATAGAATTTAAAATAATAATGGATAATGTAAAAGAAATACCTTTATAGTTAATGATATAGAACATGTATTTTGTAAAGATAAGAGTTATTTATCTTAAACATAAATAATTAATGTAATCTATTTATTAATGTATAATAGATGGCGTCTTGTATTTAAACTTGTGTCCTTAACGTTTTCAAATGCAAAAAAAAAAAAAAGAAGAAAAATGATAATGAGAATGTTACTAATCTAAGATTAGTTTACATAAACATTATAAAACTTTTTAAAAATTGATTGATTGCTCAATTAGTATTGAAGCTTTATAAATTATATATTATAAATTTTTTATGTTTTGACAACGTGTATTTGTACTTATATCAAGTTTACAATATATTAAATGTTTTCAATGCAACAGCAAGGTCCAATTGTCCTTGGTTTAATTTGAATCATATGAAAATTCATTCTTATTTATAAGAATATGCGAAAACAAATTTTTACATTTATATCATGCATTTTATTTTCAACTGCATGATCAAATATTATTTGACAAAAAGGAAATTTAATACAATAAAACATAAATGTGACAGATATGTGTAAAACTTATTGTCAAATTTTGATATTTATTATATGGCAATAAATTATATAACTTCTCAACAAGTAAATATACAATCATGTATAATTTTGATTAATGATCATCAAACAATCAATCATAATTAAAATATTTTAACTATAAATGCATAAAATTTAAAATTATAGGTTTCTGTATTTCGTGTACACTAGGAGAATCAAGATGTGGATAATATGTTTAGTTTGTTAAGTCTCTGCCTTAAATATTAACAAAAACATTAAATGCATTTTGGTAAGAAGTATTAATAATACTTGCTCAAGAATATTAAAGTCTAAAATGTTCTTTAATCTATAATCAACGTTGCAGTTTAGTATTCTAAGCAACACACTACTCAAGTACAAACAACAATATAGCTAACTTTTTAAACACAAAGACATGGATTTTTTCAGTTTTTACATAAGTCAATATTAATAGAATAATATAAAGTCAATAACCCATAAAAGTAACTATCAAACATTTAAAACGTTTAATACATTTTGATTGCATATAAAAATTGCAACATTATGCTAAAAAATAAGTCTGCTTTCAAAATGAGGGTACTTTTTAAGTAATTTAGCCTTTAATATACAATTTATCAAAGAACTTTAATATTCCGTGAAAACTGTTATATATCTGATTTTTCTTTATATTTGGGGGTAAAAATGAACTATATCGCAAAATACGCTTATTGTACTAAAGATGCTTGTACTTGTTTAAGTATAATTAAACTTTTTGCTATAATGAAAGTGGACCCTGACATACATTCGTCGTGATTATAAAAGCACCCATTTTTAGCAAATAATACAATTGCATTGTCAAATACATATATACTGTACGTCACGAATAACTCTTTACAATCAGTCAAAAATTCGTTTTTATTTGTAGTTCCCACTTTTTCAACATTAATGTTGAAAGCTAGCAAAGCTTTAGAAGAAAAACTTTTTAGGCTCAAAATACTGTATTCATTTACGAATTATTTTTCAAGAATGACAGTATTCGAGTACTCTTCCTTTGTGTCTTTGTTATGTTATATCCCAGAGCAATTTCCAATTTAATGTGGAAATATAATCATGTTGGATAACGAACATTTGACACTAGTGTACAACACTGAATGGAATAATCAATCAACTAATAATATTCATAAAACTTTTACTGCCATAAATTGGTGGAAAGCGTTTGTCCGGGAAGTCCAGTTGTAGCAGTAGATTTTCCTGGGGTGTTCGAAAAATTCGTGCCACCTAAAGACAATTGCGTCATTTGTTGTGGTAACTGAAATATAAATATAGCAATCAATGTTATTAGAAAAATTTATATTAAATATAAATAATGTATTGTTTGTATACCTGAGAGCCGAATGCAACAGATTGTTGCTGTTGTTGAGACGTTAAATTAAAAAAAGGATTATTACCAGGAGCTGGTTGAAGATTTTGTGTTAACATTCCACTCCAACCATTATTACTATTAATATTAGACTGTCCTAACTGCATCACCTAATAATACGAAATAAATACTTGGTTTATCAACAAATAACTCTAATATATATAGTATGTCATACATAAATTTATGTACCATTTGGGATTGCATTGTAATGGCAGGATTCGGTACACCGTTCATCTGATTTATCTGACCTACATGTATACAGTTTCCTAAGGAATTTGATGCCACTGGTCCTAATGAAGCAGAATTCACTGTAATTTGATTCTGACTGATAGGTAATTGATTAGGTGTAACAGACATCTGAGTGGGAAGTTGATTAAGTTGAGTTAAGGAACTTTGTTGGTTTGGAAAACTAGTTTGTTGACCAAATGGTACCACAGCTGGTAGTTGTTTATACTGAACATTAGACTGTTGAGCATACATTCCGCCTAAAACACGAAACAACAAAAATTATACAAAAATATTTCAAATATAATAATGTGTTTGAAGTAATAGATATGTGTATACCAGGAACTGCAAACATTGTTGATTGTTGATTACTTGGTGTACCATACAAGGCTAAAATACTGTCTTTGGACATTTTATTTTTTTCTTGAGGAGATGGTGCTGGTTGATCGAAAAAACTTTCTTCTTCACTTTTACTAACAGTTGTTGATGCATTTGTTGTGGTGTTAGAAATACTACTACTTGTTGAAGATACTGAAGCTGGAGGTGCAGATAAAAAAGAAGAAAATATGTCATCTCCAGCACCATTCACGTTTGTTTGATTTGTTGTTGGAGCATCTGTTGAAAATATATATATTTTTAGAAGTATCTGTTATACTCAATATAATTACTGAAATGCAAGAAAAATATACCTAAGCCTAATAAGTCTAGAGTTGCAGAATTATTTGCTCTATTAGGTTTAGGACTGATAGAACTTTTAGGTTTTGGCAACTGAGGCACTACTTCTGGCTTTTTTACAGGTGGAAGTATAGCTTGATTATTAGAAGATTTAGAATTTTCCTTTTTTCTTCTACGTTGTCTTTCTGCTTCTTCATCAAGCTCTTTATCCCAATTAACCTACATATTTATTAAATATTTATTTGTATTTGAAATTTTAATATATTTTAAACATATAAAAATGATTGACTTTTCAAAAATTTGAAAAATTATTACCTTTGGCAAAGGAGGTGGCACCCATTCTCTGGCTATATATTTTTTATGTTCATACTTTGCACGAATAAAACTTTCAAGACTACAAACTGTTTGAGGTCTTCGAAAACTATCTGGAAGATTTGCTTCATAAACTGCTCTTGCACGGGAATTACCCATTTGTTGTAAACTCTAAAAATAAGAATATGACATTAGTGGTTTGCATTATAAGTAATACTTACAATTAAAACTTTTAGAACTCAAAAGCTATAAACATACCACTACTTGTTCTGGCGTCCATGTGTCCAAATTAACAGATTTTACTTTGCTTATGTGAACTCCAAGATTTCTGTGTATTCCAGCACAACGAATACACAAAAATATACCTAGATTCCAACTAGCCCACCGTGGTCCTAAGAAACATACATAAATGTAGAGCTAACACATATAATAAAAGAACATATTTGTAATTTATTTTTATACTTAACAATGTATTGAAAATATGTCATAAAATTTTATTTGCATGCAAGATATGTACAGTGAAGAAAGTAAAATTTTATAGAAAGTCTATAAAAATTTAAAGCAGTTAAGAAAGTTAAAAAATTCAGTTTATTTATCGATACATAATAGTAAGAAATAAAAAATGATATGTATGAAAAGTTATTTATTAGCAATTTACAGATAAAAGGAGAACATGTAAGTACACGAGTAAGGACTGAATAATAATGAAGAAACCACGGTGACGTTTACTTGTAATCGCTGTCATCCAAAGTTCTGTCACTGAAGAATTAAAAATCTATAATGTCTTACTAGGCGAAACTAGGTCGTTTTCAAATCAATATCGATGACATGGATGCACTGTTATGTATAAAAATGCAATTTTGCAATATTCGCAAAGAACGGATAGAATAATGGGTCGAATAGAAACAAGACATCGCTAAAAAATATACAATTGACGCACGAACCTTTTGCATCGCAGTCGACACAATACTTATTATCCTCATCACGTAGCATTTCTATCAAAAGATTTTGACATTTCTCTTGTATTTGCTTGGAACGTTCTTTTTCTAGCCGGGACGTCATTTTTGTACAGTGATGAGTTTTCCTGCACACAGGTTCAAAACAATGTTTTCTTCTTACAATGCAATGCTGGACACATACGAGAGCCGTCAAGTGGTATGCAGTAATGGTCAGCGAACGCCCCCAATAGTTCAATTCGTTACTCACAGAAACATCATGTAGTTGAAAAAATTCTATTGGATTCTATATATTTCAATATCTGAAACGAAATAACGAGTAGATCCTTAGCGACTCTAATATCTATATCGATATTTTATTGAATTGTATAGTCAGTAAACAAGTATTCTATTGCTCCATCGATAAGCCACGTAATCAATTCATACGTACGAATATATGAATTCAGCATGTGTTTCATTACACACAGACAATATATATATAAAATTCTAATCTGATGTTCAATGTATTTCTGCTTCATACGATTTACGAAATTTTGAGTATCTTTGCTACTTTAATCATTGACTAGAGACAGGATAGACGTGACATCAAGACTTCGTGCATCTAATTGTAAGTAGTAGCTGACACAGCAAAATATATATGTACATATATATTCATATACCTCGTCTGTGCCAGTCATTTTTTACTGTCAGTATTTCAGAGCATGGGAGATGAAATCCCATAAGATGTTTGGTCTATTCATATACCCTATCTGTGATCTATTCATATATCTTATCTGTGTGACAAATTTTTGAAAATTTTGGGTTCATAATCCATAAGAAACGCAATAATTTGCAACAAGACAGCAATAACACAGATCTCGTCTGTGGCAAGAGCAATTAGTTTCATTGTTTCACCGCTATGGGGCAATAGTGTTTCAATATGTGGTAGAGTTAAGGTGGATTTGCGTTTGGTCTCAGAGTCGCCGCCAGAGGGGCTAATGACGACTATTCCTATCCCAGATGCTAGATTCAGTAGGAATCTCTAGGTTGTGACAGCACCCATCACAGAGTTTTTCTGTACGCTAATCGCTTAACCTGAAGATCGGACTCGATCGTAGGCTAAGTGACATTCATTTGCGCCTTATGATGTTCGTGTCTTTGGAACTAGTATACTTACGAAAGCATGTGCTAGTCGCAATAGGCATTTAGCGACCTCTACTTCGAAGAATTTAGATCAATGCCATCTATGTTCATTATATCGTTCCGTCGAGATGTGTATTTAATATAAACAATAGAATATTTAAAAATTGTTAGTAATTTAATTATCACTATGGAAATGTTTACAGACACTTATGTATATTGTAACTATAGTAGAAATAGTTCATTCGTTATTTAACTTTCGTCATTTGATATTCATTATTTGTTATTAAATATTTTAATTATTATATATTTTGTTACATTTATAATATTTTTATATAAACTATCAAAATTATATACGGAGTTATTTAAATTTGTAGTACTATGATTGAGAATAATTATCAACATAGTCACTACAGGCATTGAAATGCTAACGTCGCGTAGCGGTGAAATGGAACTAATTTATATTACTGTCTTTGTCGCACGCTATTCCCCTCCTTGTCTATCGCGCATGTACGTCTGTCCTTGTCGCATGCTGTTGCTCTCCTTGTCTACTGCGTATGTACGTCTGTCCTTGTCGCATGCTGTTGTTCTCCTTGTCTATCGCGCGGATATGTCTGTCCTTGTCGCACGCTAGTGCTCTCCTTGTCTAATGACGCTAGACAAGGAAAGCAACAGTGTGCGAGAAGGACATCTTTCGATCTATTGAAAAAAAATTCAACTTCTTACACACACGTTTTTTTTGGACAAAAGACAAATAGAAAGTATGCGGGAAGCCTAATTTTAAGGAGGCATATAAAAAAGTTCGCAAATTATTCCTCTTAATAAGGTTTTTTTCGTAATTAGTGTGAATCGTCACAAAAGGACATGGTGGCGCCATCTAGCGGTAACTCAGCGGTACTAATTATTTATAAAAATACTTATTTCTGCATTTTACGGGTCAAATGGGGTATGAAAAGAAAGCTCAGGGTCTAATTAGGGTAATACAATCACAAAGGTTCACAATTCATTTCGCTAAATTAGATTTTCTCGCAAATAAAAATTTCTCTGTTTTACGGCATAAGAAACTAGCGCCGCGTTGTGGCAGACCGGTGAAACTAAACGATCTGTGATCATATAAGGAGAATAATTAATTTTAATTTTTCACGCCACAAATTTGCACTCCACGAGCATATATTTCAAAGATCATGCTATCAATTAAGTTCGCAAATAAACCTGATCTAACATTCACTATAGTCTGCGAGAAATTATGCACTCCCTACAGGCACGACTACTAACGTAAACGAAATTGAAACATTCTTTATGTACGTAAACTATACTTAAACGAAACATAGAACGCAAGCTAATGGTTTCTAAAATTGAAGACGCAACCATAACAGTTCACAAATGATTCCTCTTAATTAATTTCTTCTCGTAATTTGTTGAAAAACTGTCACCTGTCAATGATTAGAGGCAATGGTGGCGCCATCTATTGGCAACTCGGTGGTACTAAAAAACTGGATTTTCTGTTTTTAGTACCACTAGGTTATCGATAGATGGCGCCACCATGTCCTTTTGTGACGATTCACACTAATTACGAAAAAAACCTTATTAAGAGGAATAATTTGCGAACTTTTTTATATGCCTCCTTAAAATTAGGCTTCCCGCATACTTTCTATTTGTCTTTTGTCCAAAAAAAACGTGTGTGTAAGAAGTTGAATTTTTTTTCAATAGATCGAAAGATGTCCTTCTCGCACACTGTTGCTTTCCTTGTCTAGCGTCATTAGACAAGGAGAGCACTAGCGAGCGACAAGGACAGACATATCCGCGCGATAGACAAGGAGAACAACAGCATGCGACAAGGACAGACGTACATACGCAGTAGACAAGGAGAGCAACAGCATGCGACAAGGACAGACGTACATGCGCGATAGACAAAGAGGGGAATAGCGTGCAACGAAGACAAACATATACACACGGTAAACAAGGAGAGCGGTAGTGTGCGACACGGACAAACACATACGCGCGATAGACAAGGAGAGCAACAGCGTGCGACAAGGACAGGCATATTCACGCGGGAGACAAGGAGGGGAATAGCGTGCGACGAGGACAGATGTATTCGCGGTAAACAAGGAGGGAAAATACCGTGCGACAAGGACGTAATATTAATTAGTTCCACCGTTTCACCGCTACGCGACGCTAGCATTTCAATTCCTGTTTCGGGTAGGATTTCCTTAATATACAAGTTCCGGACATATGAACTACACAAGTCGTAAGTGGATGTTGTTTAATGATGGATTGATGGCGATCACCAAATTAAGCATGCCGCGTGTGAAGGAATACCTCTAAGATGGGTGCTATCCAGACTAGCGGTTCCTAACATAACAGGCGTCTGGAGTAGAGGTGGGTCGCCGCCATCAGGCCCACTGATGAGTCTAGACGGCGCAGACTCTGAGACAAAACGCAAATCTACATAAACAATAATATACACGGATGGTTTTAAATCCACAAATGCCATTAGTTAGAGCAGTATGCATAATTCCAAAGGACAAACTAAGCAGTACAAAATCTATGGTAAAACTACACAGCAGAATGCCTGATGATAAAAATAGCAGTGATCTGTACAAATGAAGCCTTGTACAAAGTCTAAAATCTATCCCTCTTCCAAATGAACAGACATATAACAAATATCAAAAAAGAATTGCAGCAGTTCAGAGTAAACATGACAAAAATCTGTATCTCCATGATATGGATTCTAGCTCATGTCGCAATAAAAGTTGCAGATAAGAAAGCAAAGGCAGCATCAGCACAAACAATTGCTCAACATACATGCTGGTCCCACACACCAACTGCATACAAGCTATAAAGCCAAAAATTCAATCTCAAAGAGAAAAGTAGAAAGCACAAGGCAGAATATCAGGTGGTAAGTGTTTTTGATAGTACTACAAAACAGCTGGTTTCACAATAAAGAATTCAGACATATGACAATATGTCATTTTACAACAGAGTAAAAACTGACTATTACAGTTCCTCATTGGCCAAGATTAAATAGGCTCAGGATGCCTTATGTAATTGTGGTCACACAATGGACTTTGATCACATAATTTGGTTCTACCCAAATTACTCAAATAATCATGATCAACCAATTTAGTTCTGCCCAAACTACTCAAATAACCATGATCAACCAATTTAAAAAATACCAAATAAAACCCCTAATTCATAATCAAAAAACTCTTCATCAAGCCGCTTAAAAGCATAGATAGTTTCCTAAAAATTAATAACATAACAATTTAAAAAGCAACGGGAATAAAGAAATTTAAGATTTTGCTATTGAGCTGATATGCATATCAAGATATGTCCATCTTTTTTGTACCAAGTTATTTTTTTCTGTATGTATGTAGGTTTTATAGCATTTTATATGTAAGAATACGTAGTACATAGGCCAAGTGTAGGCTTGAAGCTAATCAATAAAAAAAAAATCTATAAACTCTATTTTACATTCTGTCTATAATGTTTATAAATTAACAGTTACATGTACATACATATATAAGCGTAAGTGATACGGGAAATATATTAGTTATATTAGTATAGGTGATAGAATAAATATTACAATTAAGAGACTTACTGCTGATTCTTATCTTTTTTCTTTTAATTTTCTTTAATCTTAAAACTAGACAAAATTTAAATATTGAATACTGAATTAACAGAATAAGAAACGTGTTTAATAAATTTACTTATAGAAGAATAACTTGAATAGTATAAAGTATGATATTTTTCACATATTTATCCAATAATTTCGTAATAGGATTAAGCATGATTATTTCAGTGTTCTTGGATTAAAATACAGGATTCAATATAGTAAACTTGTTTGACAAGTATTTCCACAGGAGTTGTATATTATTAATCATTCTTTGTGATTAATAGTAATGATTTAATACACGCCTCTATTGGAGTATTACATTCCACGCCTTGTTTAAAGTTAATTAATGGCGACAGCAGACTGAAAACGGAGATCGTCCATTGGGCGGGGAAGTTAGACGAAATTTATTATTAGAAATAGTGTAAAATGTATTGGTATGTTATCAAGCAATTTATCAAGACGTAATAGATAATTATCATTGTAAATGAAAAAAATTGTACCGAGAAGTAATTATATTAATTCAGTTTCATGCAACGATATACGGTTTTAATCTGTCAGGCTTTCATAAGTACTTAATTCAGTCACGATAGATAAAGGATTGCGTGCACGTAGCCGTTTAATCGATACATCGGATTACGGATGCGATTACATATGCATTTTAGATATCAGCGAACTAGTTGATTACAGGGACATTTATCAATTTTCAGTCTCCACGACGTGGTTTACGTCTAATATCAATATATTTTCACTACTAAATAAAATCGGGGATATCATTTTCATGCCAATTTGTTCCGTATGTACGTAATATTTCTTGAACATGAAGTACAAGATATTCATATGCTAAAATTATGTTGTCTTTGAGTTGACAGTTTGGTTTCACATGAAAGGTGTCAATTACATTGTGCCCGCTTATCCACTTGGCTACTGCGACCAAATGGAATCAACAAGCTCCAAGAGAAACGTTAGAGAAAGCATTTGTCCTATAAAGACCAATACGGTAATCAGTTGGGACTTTTCTTTATCTATAAAGAAATCAATGAATGATTAGTGTGGAAAATAATGATCACTCGTAATAGTGATGATCGTTACGTATCATTCACAATAGTCTTGTCTGCCACTAGGTAGATTACTGGGGAGAGAGGTGAGAGGTCCCGATAGTAATTTAGCAAATGGCCAAGCCAGTGGCGCTGTCCCGGTGCAAGCGTGCCGTTTTACCTTGTCCAGTTGCATACTTTATGAGTTCCCCTGTATGGTCATGAACATGGGACACCATACCACACCGCTATACTTCGCTTTGACAGCGGCGAAATGTTTATTTAATACATGGAAATCCCCCGATTCCTCGATTCATTGGTAATACACAACCGTCTCAGTCTCTTTGGCGCGACCCACAAATCCTTTCATTTTTTTCATGCTTCCTTCAATGCTCGTACATTCTCGACCGTGTGATCATTTTTCCTCTCAGAACAGAACATTTACGAAGTATATTTACCCTTGTGCGCAATTACTGTCATCGTATATGCTTAGCTGTACACGAAACGAACTAATTGAAAGAATTTTTAAATTGTGCGTTTTGCAAATCTTTTTTCAAAATGAACGACTCAAAATTACCTTTTTATTAACTTTACCTTAATACTTTTGTGACAAACCAAGATTAATCTTACATTGATCGATTGGACTCCAGCATATCACGGTATTTAATGGAACGAGAGTCGTAAACCAAGTATTATTATACCTTATATTAGTCAGGTAAAGACGATGAAATATGATCTAAATACTCTTTCTGGAGATAAAAATACAACGGGGCGTTCCAGAAGTTGACAAGAAAATGTGCTCTAAATACTTTTAAACACATTATATCTATACACATTCAATATGTGAACATTCACCGGCAATTCACAAGATTAGATTTATCATACAACATTCGCTTAATTATCATTTAACATCTTAACGTTTTGACGTGACACGATGGGGGTAATAAATGTTAATCACGGCGTGGCAAGAATATTAATTAATCGGTATAACGGTGCACAGGTCGGCAGGGATAATGTTACAATAATTTACGATGCCGTGTCCAAACCGATATCACAGATGCTCAAGCGCAAGATCAGAATAAAGTGGATCACCTTCGTCCGGCTGACCTAACTTGTTCGTGGCGTCAAATTATGCTGTTGTCGGATTGGTATTGAGTCCTCGGCTGTAGAACTCTTTGATCTTCCGAAGCTCATCGAACCATGTCGAAAGGAAATACGAGGGAAAATGTAGGTATTAACTCGAAACACGAATCAATTTATACAATTACAGAACAATGCGAGCATCCCGTCAACTTACGCACATACCTACATACACAACATGCACATGCACATACTAATAACTTAATCTACCGTCTGCCTTAACAGCGCATCATCCTCCTTTCGTATACACCGGATAACTCTGGCTTCAAGTGGAATGAAAAAACTTAGGCAAAAGAGGGTCGATCGCAAATGATTGTGAAATTGGATTGCGAATAAAAGACATTGTAATACTATACGGAGTAGGTATATAGAAGGAACGTCATGTAAGAAAGTTATGAATGCGGCTTGTACCGAGCATCGTTTATAGAAGAAGGTAATGAATCCATTCAAATTCAATTCTATTTAAGAATGTTCTTACTCAGCCGACGTGTAGGCACACGTCATTTCGATACATCAAATAGAGCCTCTCCTTTCATTTTTCATTGGGCAGTGCAAAGGTAACTTGCTATTTAGTCTTATGTTACGCAGAAGTCTCCTTTGATTATTTTAATAACCAAGTTTTTTCCATCGAAGAAAAAAAACTTTTCATGACTGACGTTCTTCATAATTGTAGAATATTCATAGCTGGACAAGATCGAAAAATTTTTACAACGACATTGCTCGCACAGGTGGACAGAGCAGAAGTAGTTTTGTAATGATATCGAGACGACACGGCGAAGAGATCGTTTCGTCGTTTTGAGGCGTGAAATACAAAAATATAAAAATGTTACACGTAGACAACTATCTGAATAGACTAAGAATATATGATTTTCGTAGTTGAAATTAATGATTCTTATATAGGAATGCGTTGCCGATATGAGAGAGTATATAATAAACTTTGCCAAAATGATTTTCGACTTGTTTTACATTTTACTCGAAAATTGACTGGAAATTTATGTACAGTTACAGTTGTAGGCGAGGCTAGCATGTTAAACACGCAAGTGGGTTAATGGCGAAGTCCATACAAGAGAGGAGAGACCGAAATATACTTACATGCGCAGGTACATTTTACAATCTGACAGACATTCTGATATTTGATGCTGATGAACGATCCCTCCTGGATCTCAGGCGGTCAATATCGATGGAGAAATTCGGCTACAACTGCACCTAGAGAGCGAACAGCCCCACTATTGGTATATTTGGCATCTGTTACTTTGGGCCATTGCCACACTTTCGTGTGTAACAACTAGCGTACTTTTTAGTTCTCCTTCAGACATTACATAGGTTCCCGAAATTAGAGCAACTAGAGCGTTTTCCTAGAATCTAGGAAAGTATACATCGAAACAAATAAAATTGCCTGATTAGAATATTTTACACGCGATGTAGGTGAAAATTACGTTATTTTCGATTGTTTTACGATATTCTGCGATTAAATAAATAGAATACAAGCGCGCATTATTTGAAAATCACACGCAACGCCCATGAGGAAGTTCACCAACTAATTTCGCTCCTACGATTTGAGTATGTTTTTATGTATGTATCGCGTGTTATCCGCAAAATTTCGCTTAATTAATCACTATAGACGCAGAACACGATAGAACGCGAGCTTAAAATGTTTCTCTTCGTAGCGAGTGCAATTCTTGTCCGTCTACACGTGAAATTAGCGGTTAGAATGTAAGTAGGAAAGGAGATTAATGTTGCTGTCGGTAACAAGAAAATTCCCCATAATCGTTCGATTAGAAAGTGCACCCGCTAAAATGTAAATAAGGCGTAAGAATGGCATTTTCATGGGGGGGAAGGCAAGAATATTTTACATATTTAATCATCTAACTTTTTCAATCAAGTTCTATGTTAAATTTTCTATCATTTCTCCTAATTTATTCGATGTAGAGAAAGAACTTGTTACACATACATAACTACTCTCGTTATCCCAGATTCGAGATCTTGATCAAAATGATATCATAATCGATGGCAAATCAGGATAGAAGGGCACATCCCTTTGAGATCAGGAAATGCGAGAAAGACAGAAGAACATTTCCTGGAGATGAAGAAGAAGAAGAAGAAGAAGAAGAAGATATCTGGTAGTGGAGGAGGAAGAGCTGGCCTAGAAACGGTGGTTCTCCGATCTCCGATCTGTTGGTGGGTTTTCAGGCTTCTTCCCATCGCTCCACCTCCCGTCCAGCTACCCCTTCTCCGTTTGACTGACCGTCGTCGTCAACGATGATGGTAATGGTAAATAGCCCATGGAGAGACTCTCCAGTCCGTGCCTCCACTGGAAACGGGAGCACGCCACGTGAAAGTAGGAAGGGGAGGCTATAGCCAGACCGACGTCGCTTCGTGCGCCTCAGTCGTTCGTGGACCTCGAAGGACGATAGAGGTCGAAGAGGGCACTTCCTCCTCTCCTTCCTCACGGCGCCACCACCATCATCTTCTTTCCGCGCCTTTGGCCTTATCCTTTTTAACCGGCGGCGAGAGGACGAACGTCGTCAACGCACAATAAGATAATCGTTCGCAGCCGTCCGCCTACTGCACTTCGAGAAAATTGACTTATAACGACGTCGTTGATACACGATCGTGGCAAACGTCTGAACGGATCGTCGACAATACGAAGGATGCAGCGTCACATCTCTCTCCTCGTTGGGATCATCTTGCTGTGTTGCCTTCAAGGTCGGTATCGCTTTTAACCTCTGCACTAGATCATGTCCCACTCTGGTGAAAGTCGCAACAGGTCGACCCGCCTTTTCGTTCAGACGTTCCTATCTTTGTCCTTCATTTCCTTTCTTCCTCTCTTTGTCACGTTCTTTTTTTCTCTTTTTTCGTCTGTTTCAATGATTGCGTTACTCTGGCCGAGAAATTAATCGATAATTCGTTCCCGTCTACCGCAGATTGTTCCAACGGTTTCACGGTTGACTAATTAAGAAATAAATGAACTCGCCGCGATGCACGAATAGACAGGTCCATTCATTATTCCGTGTAAAGCAGTTAGCTGTCCGATGGAGAGTAAAAGCACGCTCGACGATTCCTGTCGGATGCGTAATAGTGATCGATATTAGGTCGAAGTAATTCGTGCAGAAATATTGATGTCACGAAATACATGTCACGCGTGATTTTGCATTTTCAATTTCCGTTCTCGCTTTCCGATGTTTTGGACCGTGTTTCCGATGCATTGAATAAATTTCAATATCTGCATCATATTAGATAGAATAGTTATGCATGCAAATGTACCATATGTGTAATTGGACAAACGTGTGACTTTTGGGTGGGAATTGATCTTATTGCTCAAATTGGGTCAGTTAACAAACAGGAAAGCTCAAACTTATTAATAAACAGGGTCGCGGGTTAAAAAAGAACCGTCAACGCTTTTTTCTTCTTCTAACAAAAGAACAAGTCCTTCCGGAGTGATACCAATGTTCCTGTATCGACATCTAAAGCTTATTCCTTTTTCTCTTTTTCTCGGTAAATGGCTTTGGTCGGAGCACCCATTGAATTCTCGGCAGGGAGTCGGTATCTCTCTATGGCCAAGTGCGATGCTCTTTCAACCAAAGGAAAAAAAAAGAACCAATGCTTTTTCGTTTTAATCTCCAGCATGCTCGCAGCCTCGTGCACGAGCCGACTCACGGGGGCGAGTTCCTTCCTCTTCCTCTCTCACTAACTTTGCGTATATACTCCCCGGTTCTCTCGAGTGTGTACTGGCGTTGCTAAAATAATATATTCGCTGTTTCATATTTTCTCTTATCGATGATCAACATGCTTAATTTATTAAGAGAAAGAAATAAAAAAAAAAAAAAATCGTTCTTTTCATCAAATTGATATTCTCACGAAATAATTGATATTCTTACAAAAATATCGGAATATCTTACATTCTTGCGCAGGGAACACATCGAATAATTTCGCTTTATCTTTTATCTCTACTGCTCTTTTAAGTACGAAAACACATATCTTTTGCCATTAAGAGTAAGCTAATTTTATGAGACATATCTTATAGTTAATTTATTGCAAGTGCATAAAGGATCTTATAAAGGTACAATCGAATGTTCAACCAGGCACATATAACTAACTCGTAAAACGGCAAGTCGGGCTGACTCGCTTAATTAAGTATGCTAATCATCTCAAAAACTCGCTTGTACCAGCGACCCTGAAAATTCCATGGAACGAAGCGTAAAGAGAGAAGTTGTCTTTTATTGCTCTCCTTGCATCTGAACGTAGATTGAAATTGTATTTCATTGGGGATAATGCGGTTTATATTTGCCTTTAAGTATCTTTTAATCATTTAATAATTTAATTCTATCGGCTTGTAATAATAGTAAATACGGGAAAATTAGTTGCACTAGTATTGTATAGTTTCACTAATTAGTTCAGTACGGTCTCCTAGTGAATTTAATCTTATAACAAGACATTATATTAATTAATAATAATAATAATTACACGTAGAATAATTCGAACGTTTTAATATTTCTTTCTCTATGTTGCATAGAAATTTTATTATAATTTTAATAGTTTGTTATTCATGCTTTTAACTTTCATGTATACATGTAGCAGATACTATGTAATAGCGTGCAGTAAATGCAGGCCGTTGCATGAGGAAACATACGAAACAAGAATGGATCGAAGTGTAATAACAGATGTCAGAAGAAGAGAATTTATGCGTTCTTTTACGGAGAAGACATTGCCGCAGAAATGCTCCTTTTCGTGAGATGTTTACCCTACCATTACGGCATAAGAAATACGATAATAATCTGCAGTCTTCAAGAGAAGGTTTTATATAGAAGCCTCTTGAAATTTCGTTTTGGATACTTTTCTTCTCTGAAATCTCGTTTTATCATTTCTTTTCTGTTCTCAATGAGAAGAGAATATTTCTCTTGATGTAAGACCGCACTCAAGGATTCTTTGCCCCTTTGATCGAATATCGCAGTAAACAATATAAATTCCTCTGTGAATAATCCTGGAAGAAGTAATCTTGAAACGAGCAAATTTGCTCGTTCAATATCCAAGAACGCATCGTTTGAAGTTGCAATACGTTTCATGTTTCGTTGAAAATCGTGAAACGTTCAGCCAATTGGTTTGTATTGAAAATGATTTGAAAGCATCTGAATAGCCGTGAGGCGTTTCAATAAAAGATGATCTTCTAAAAGCGTTACGGTTTCGGTTCATTGACTTTTCAACGTGTTCAAATTCTCGTGACCTGGTTCCTCTGTCATCCGTTCCTCCGGGAAACTGTCGAGCTTGAGATTAAATTGACATACGTATATATTGTTCCCGCAAATGAAATTACTTCAGCATAGAAAGAGGATAATAGAAAAAAGGATAATGTTCACTGACTTGTATTCTGCTGGTCCATCGTTCCATCGACTATGAAGCGTGTTTTCACGCATGGAAAGGCTTCACGTTTATCCGAGTGGAAAAAAGGGCATGCCGCTTTTTTAGTCGATTTTATATTTATTCATACGCGGATTAACAATCACCTTGTGATCATGAATAAGCAAAGAGGCGCCGGGTACGGCAAACTTCATTCGTCAAATGGTAACAGTTACCTATTCGGCTTGATCCGATTCGATAGTTTGCGTTGTTGATAATTAATTCGCCGCACGAATAGTCTAGAGACCTGGATAATTGCTATCGTTTAACATGCAAGGTTCGAACGTGATTGTCAGAAAAGCGGAAAACATTGTACGCGTGCCAATTAGCACAAGTCTGTTCTATAGTTACACATATAACGAACAATTCCCGACTTAGACATTCTGTTCAGTGGTATTCAAAGAAGTTCAATTACCTTTGCACGTATTGGAATCATTTGCAATTAGAAAAAGGAAAATTAGAAATGAGCACAAAGAAAAACTACTACGATTTCTTTGGGGAAATGGATCGTCCCACGATCGGTAATGACCACGCCTACACCCCGTACGAAACATGTAGTTTTTACATATTCTTCGTGTTCTTCGAGTTAATTCCTTTCTTTGGAGATTGACCAGTCTTTTACCGTTATTCGAAAATACTTAGAAAATATTTGCATGGCCTGGTTTTGTGACACCAAAACTAGCTGCATTTCACGTTGTGAAATAGACCTTCGTGCTGTACCTCTACCTCCGATCAGTTTTCATCCCTTTTTTAAACTATTTTAACTCTTTATATTCTGACGGTACTTGAAAGAATCGATTCATGTGAATATTTATATCATTTTAATGTGACGATACTATTAAACGATACTATACTTCTTTACTAATATTGTTCCCAATTTGCCAATACTGATGAGACATATTTGTTTCATCTCTTTCTCGAAAACGACACGATACAAAATTTTCAAATTTTGCATGCAAATATTAGTATTTCCTTAAATCATATTTTTGTCATATATACACTTCTAATTCCTTTTCTCAAAAATCAGATCGAAAGGCTTAAGCGTAATACAGTAATCACCTTATATGAATCTCTATTTTTCAAATATTTTAATATTCAAACATTATACTATATTATCGGAATGTCTGTCCGTAACTAAAAGTTTATGTGTTACTAACGGAACAGTGATATAACGTTCGAATATTAAGATATTCGAAAAATAAGGATTCAATTATGGAAATACATGAAATTATTAGAAAATTTATTTCCGTTTTTGCCTATGTTTAGAATATATAAAAAAATCACATAAACTAAGATAAAAAGGAATTTGGTTCTCTGGCTCGTAAGTTCTTCGGTCGTTCGAAAAATTTTTGTCGCGTAATAACTTATACTTGTATATGTGATGCAAAAGTCGAACAGGCTGCTAAGTAAACGGTGCCGGAGAGATGCGTAAGTACGATTTTATGCTAAGTGGAAAGGCGTCTGTGCACAGGTTATGTACCATTGGTTGGAGAGCACGCACTGGAGATGCTATCGAAACAGTTTCCTCGTCGTGTGTCGACAGTATTTGCACATTGTACAGCTCCTAGGAAACGTAAATTATTCATTAAACCTGCAAACGAAACGTAGTCACGTTCCCTTCGTTTAGCATCAATTTTTCATCTTGGCGCTGGTTGAGAGCTAAGAGGCTAAGAATCTTCTTTCGGTTTCCATTCAGGATGTTCTCCCCTCTATCAGGTCTCTATCGCAGGGAAACGTGCATTAAAACACTTTCACGGCGATGGATCGCACCTTTCACTAGAAATTAGATTAAACGGCGCAACCATTTCCACGTATCTCTTTCAAGAGCAGTGTTTTTCTTTTTCACCAGGAGCTCGTACGCGCTATTTCGTTCGTACAATGAGGCCCCGTGCCGCGTTTAATGGAACGTATCGGGGAATCTAGTACATCTAGCGTTTTGAATTAGATTGGTACCGGTAGGCCACGCCATTCTTTTCATTCGACTTCTGTACACCGTGTTCATTTTTCATCATCATCATCGTGACCATCGCAATATTTATTAAAAATTCTCATCCGTTCTCTAGTTTTTAATAATCGAGTGATTGGCAGATTAATAGAATAAAAGAAGCGTGCGGATCTGTGTCAGGCAAATAGCACGCTGAGATAAAAATAATTAGAATATTGATGTTGCAAGATCATTGAATAAAACGAAAGCATAAATATCGTTCTACATGAATTAACATTGTGGCAAAGGATGCATACGTTATTTCATGGTCGAAATGAGCCTTGGTAACATTTAAATTCCGTTTAAATTCTAAACACGACAAGTTTCA